CCCCAGCGATCACAAGGCACAGAGCCACTCTGACTGGCTCTGTGCCTCTTGCCTGTGATCAGCGCCTTCTAACGAGAGCGCGATCACGGTCTCCACGCGTGTGCACATGCAAACGTTGTTTTCAAACATATAAATCGCAGTTGCAGCGCCCTGCAGAGGTTAAGATGCTGCCGATCATTTTGTTTATTCTAAAAATAAAAAACTAGTAATTTTACAAAAAGACGGGAGCTGAGCAGCGATTGGCTGTAAGACCAACAAAACATTGATGTGATGTGTGGATAATACGGGTGACCCTCACCTGGGCTGGCAGCCAGAGTCGTCAGTCGTGTTCTGTACACCCAGCGGGTCGGTGAAAACGTGTTCTGTATAGATGCCGGCCTGAATATCGGCCACGTCGTCTGTGGTGCCGTCTCCCACTTCTGTGGCCTCCGTAGCTTCCTCCGCCGTGGGCACGTTGTCGTCCAATTCAGCATTGCCAGAGTCCGGATCTGTCATCACAATGAGAGCTGATCAATGTGGGAAACGTGTGTGGGGTTGTGTGTGTGTGTGGGGTTGTGTGTGTGGGGTTGTGTGTGTGTGTGGGGTTGTGTGTGTTTGTGTGTGTGTGTGGTTGTGTGTGTGTGTGGGGTTGTGTGTGTGTGTGTGGGGTTGTGTGTGTGTGTGTGGGGTTGTGTGTGTGGTTATCCTCTACCGTCCTGCCCACCAAATCCGATGGCTGGACCAAGAAACTAAAACTACCAACGCATTTCACCTGGATTGCACTCTGCCTCAGTGGAAATAACACTGGCGGTTTGTGGTGAAGGGGGCTCGGATTCCTCTACGGAGGCAACTGTAACTCTGACGCCCCCCACTGGCTGCTCCGAGGAAGATGTGCTGCTGACCAGACTCTCCGATAAGGAAGTTTTGTCCGCCTGCGCAGCATCCGTATCCATTTTAGTGGCGTCTCCTGTGGGGTAGTCCGTCTCCATAACTCCTGCAATAAGAATAGTCTGTGATGTGGATGTGATGTACAGCCACTATAAGCACAGGATTGTGTATTCCGCCCTGACCCCACAGCCCACCCTGTAATGGAAGTTGGAATACTCTTGCTGACCCAAAACAGGAATGATGAAGATGATGGACAAGAAGAGGAAATACTCTAGATGACAGGAAGTAGGGACACTCCAGATCAGCCTTCCTCAACCCAGAGTGCCACAGCACCATGGGGTGCCTTGAAATTTTGGCACAGCATCATTCCCTTCTATGGTGCAGGTGGGTTGGCTGCCAGCACCATGGAAACAAAGGTTAACGCACAGAGGGTGGGGTCCATTCAGAAAAAGATTTGGAGGGAAAGTCATATTTTTTGTGTTTTTGTCTATCATGTAATATATAATATATTTCATTTTATAATTCAATGTAGATAAATATCTTTATTTTTTGCTAAAAGTGCCTGAGCGCTGCATAGGATAGCACTAGGCTGTATGAACATACCACAGACACTTCTCCTCTGGACTGACAAGACGCATTTGCAAACAGGCAAATACAGACACAGGCAGATACTGATCACTCAGAACTGAGTGATCCGATTGGCTGGTCGCGTGTTGCCGCTTTGTGATGCCTTCATTGCAACGCGCGCTGAGATTGGCTGGAGATGAACTTTCTCATCTCACGACGCTGCGCTACGCACGCTGTCGCCGGGCAGAGCGGGGCATCGGAACTCACTAGACACACTGCAGGCGAAGGACCACGAGTCGCCGCTCGCCTGTGCGCTGCTTCGCCTGCAGTGTGTCACGGCCTTAAACCTCTCGCCCATGGAAAGTTGCACACGTTCCTTGGGCGGCCCGGTACCATTTGATCCACGGATCGGTACCGGTCCGCGGCCCGGGGACCACTGCTCTAGTAGACCCAGGACAGGAAGTGGGAATGCTCTAGCTGACCCAGGACAGGAAATAGGAATGCTCTAGATGCCACAGGACAGGAAGCACTCTGCTCTAGGCACACTATCAATGTACAGAGATCAGTCTTACCTGGTACACTGGAGATGCATAGTACATGGGAGTTGCAAACTATGAAAGTATCCAACACCTTTCCGGGTTCGTTGGCGTCAACGATGATGACCTTGGTGGAGGAATGTGTGCTGGTGCAGATCCACACCAGGCTGGACAACTCATCTTGGTGCCTTAACTCTTTTTGCTGGACCTGAGGGGTTACAACAACATGCTAACTGTATGAGCGGTATCAAACATGCCCCCCAGAGGTCAAGTACACGGACCCATTGGAACAGCAGGTTACACAGATCCGGGATGATCCTCATCACATTCAGTTAGAACGGTTTGCCTTAGGCTATGTAACCAAGGCTGTGCTCTGCTCCCTTTCCATACCCAAGAAGCGAAGAGGGTGAGCACAGCACTGTGTTCAGGGGTAAGGACGGGGGATGGCAGCACACTGTAGAGGGGTAAGGACGGGGGATGGCAGCAAACTGTTCAGGGGTAAGGACGGGGGATGGCAGCACACCGTTCAGGGGTAAGGACGGGGGATGGCAGCACCCCGTTCAGGGGTAAGGACGGGGGATGGCAGCACCCCGTTCAGGGGTAAGGACGGGGGATGGCAGCACCCCGTTCAGGGGTAAGGACGGGGGATGGCAGCACCCCGTTCAGGGGTAAGGACGGGGGATGGCAGCACCCCGTTCAGGGGTAAGGACGGGGGATGGCAGCACCCCGTTCAGGGGTAAGGACGGGGGATGGCAGCACCCCGTTCAGGGGTAAGGACGGGGGATGGCAGCACCCCGTTCAGGGGTAAGGACGGGGGATGGCAGCACCCCGTTCAGGGGTAAGGACGGGGGATGGCAGCACCCCGTTCAGGGGTAAGGACGGGGGATGGCAGCACCCCGTTCAGGGGTAAGGACGGGGGATGGCAGCACCCCGTTCAGGGGTAAGGACGGGGGATGGCAGCACCCCGTTCAGGGGTAAGGACGGGGGATGGCAGCACCCCGTTCAGGGGTAAGGACGGGGGATGGCAGCACCCCGTTCAGGGGTAAGGACGGGGGATGGCAGCACCCCGTTCAGGGGTAAGGACGGGGGATGGCAGCACCCCGTTCAGGGGTAAGGACGGGGGATGGCAGCACCCCGTTCAGGGGTAAGGACGGGGGATGGCAGCACCCCGTTCAGGGGTAAGGACGGGGGATGGCAGCACCCCGTTCAGGGGTAAGGACGGGGGATGGCAGCACCCCGTTCAGGGGTAAGGACGGGGGATGGCAGCACCCCGTTCAGGGGTAAGGACGGGGGATGGCAGCACCCCGTTCAGGGGTAAGGACGGGGGATGGCAGCACCCCGTTCAGGGGTAAGGACGGGGGATGGCAGCACCCCGTTCAGGGGTAAGGACGGGGGATGGCAGCACCCCGTTCAGGGGTAAGGACGGGGGATGGCAGCACCCCGTTCAGGGGTAAGGACGGGGGATGGCAGCACCCCGTTCAGGGGTAAGGACGGGGGATGGCAGCACCCCGTTCAGGGGTAAGGACGGGGGATGGCAGCACCCCGTTCAGGGGTAAGGACGGGGGATGGCAGCACCCCGTTCAGGGGTAAGGACGGGGGATGGCAGCACCCCGTTCAGGGGTAAGGACGGGGGATGGCAGCACCCCGTTCAGGGGTAAGGACGGGGGATGGCAGCACCCCGTTCAGGGGTAAGGACGGGGGATGGCAGCACCCCGTTCAGGGGTAAGGACGGGGGATGGCAGCACCCCGTTCAGGGGTAAGGACGGGGGATGGCAGCACCCCGTTCAGGGGTAAGGACGGGGGATGGCAGCACCCCGTTCAGGGGTAAGGACGGGGGATGGCAGCACCCCGTTCAGGGGTAAGGACGGGGGATGGCAGCACCCCGTTCAGGGGTAAGGACGGGGGATGGCAGCACCCCGTTCAGGGGTAAGGACGGGGGATGGCAGCACCCCGTTCAGGGGTAAGGACGGGGGATGGCAGCACCCCGTTCAGGGGTAAGGACGGGGGATGGCAGCACCCCGTTCAGGGGTAAGGACGGGGGATGGCAGCACCCCGTTCAGGGGTAAGGACGGGGGATGGCAGCACCCCGTTCAGGGGTAAGGACGGGGGATGGCAGCACCCCGTTCAGGGGTAAGGACGGGGGATGGCAGCACCCCGTTCAGGGGTAAGGACGGGGGATGGCAGCACACCGTTCAGGGGTAAGGACGGGGGATCGCAGCACACTGTTCAGGGGTAAGGACGGGGGATCGCAGCACACTGTTCTGTTCCCCGAAGGCCTACTGTCATGACAGAAGGCAAGGTGAAATCTAATGATGGGAGCACCATATCCGGTGATAAGTGTCTAAGAGGGGATTTCCCTTGCTTTGGAAATATAATGTCTGTAAAAGGAATTGAAAGGGAAGCTACCTAATGGAAGAGAAGCAGCCTGTTCTGGTGAAAACTGTCTAAGAGTGGATCCCCCATCATGCCGGAGATTGTTGTCTCTTATTTATTTAAGCGTGGACAGAGTAAGTCCTCCAACAGGAAATGTCCTTAGGGAATCAGGGAATAAGCTAATTGGCTGCTCTCGGCAAGGACAACTCCTCCCCTTTTAGAAAGTCTGATAAAACATTTCTGCCAGTAACTGGCAGAGTCTCCAGAATTACATTATAATATTCATTATTCCCCCTGTTACTGTACAATGACGGAAGGAAATCACGGCTTGCTCCAACAGGCAACAATAAGCCAGTTGGTATAACATACCGTATTTTGCGGTCCATAAGACGCACCGGACCATAGGACGCAGGGAGGTCCGGCGCGCCTTATGGAGCACTCGACAGACCGTAGCTTCTGTCACAGCTTCCATGACAGAAGCTGCAGTTAGTGACCGCTGAGACAGGGGGCGCTGTGATTACAGCACCACGGTCTCAGTGATCACACAGAGCAGGTGAAGAACGTCCGTTCTTCGTCTGCTCTATGGTGATCTCCATCGTCGCCGCTGCTCGGTTTTAATACGAGTGATCTCATTAGATCACTCGTATTAAACGAGCAGCGGCTCCTACTACTCGCCCGGCGCCCGAAACTGCATGTCTCGGGCGTCGGGATTCGCTCCATAAGACGCAGACACATTTTACCCCCTCTTTTTGGGGGAAAAAAGTGTGTCTTATGGAGCGAAAAATACGGTAATTATGACAATACAGCAGAT